GTTTGTCATTGATTGTGAAGAGAGTGGAGAGTTATGCTGTGGCCCTACTGGACTGAGGTGAATGGTAGAGGTTCTGGTACTGAAGTCGATGGTTGTACTGGAGAGTGCATAAATTCTGTAATGGATTTCTAGGCTATTTTACCCTGCAGTACATTATACAGCTGACGGTAAGGCATCAGCTGCTCTAGACACCGTTTCAGAGCACTGCTTCTAGATTTGTCAGGGTCCTCTTCAGTGAAAAAGTCTAACTTTAAGCCAGTAAAGTCAGTAAGTCAAGTCAATCTGTCAGTAAGTCAGTCTGTCAGTGAGTCAGTCAAAGAAGTCAGTCGGTCAAGTAAGTCAGTCACGCAAACTCATATATTTACCTCATTCTTTTTAATTGAACAAATTGATGCTCCATTAAGGCCATAGGCTCTTGCTGTATCCATCACACATGAACCACTCTTAACCCTTTGACTGTTTTGGTTGTATATATATGTCTTATGCACCACCGTTTTTAACGTATATATACTCATAAATTCTAGTGACTTAAAATCAAGCAGGAGAAAGCTGGTAGGCCCACATGTGAGAGAATGGGTCTGTGTGGTCAGTGTGCAACATATAAAAAAAACCCTGCAGCACGCAGTGCATAATGAGGAAAAAAACTGACCGTTTTTTTTTTTTAGTTAAATTGCTGAATTTGTGGTCTATTTTTGTATAGTATTTATGGTTGTATTCTTGTTTTCTTGGTCTCATTTGATAGAATGGAAAACATATTATAGAAATAGAGGTGATTTTGATTGGTTTTACTATGAAAAAAACTTGAAATGGAGCTCAAAGTAGGGGAAATGTTTGATTTTTGCCGATGTTCAGAAGTAAACAAATGATGTCATTTTCCAATAAATGTCCAAGTAGCCATTCTAACGTGCAGTCATGAATGGGTTGACATTATTTATACAATTATTACAATATTGCAGTAGTCTGCATAACAGTAAATCTTCTATTTTTTGTTTGAATAAAAATTCAAAATAGAAAGCAAGAGTAATATCAGAGGGGCCTGGAGACGTGACTGATGAACAAAGAAAATGTTATTTTAGAGCAAGAAATGTCTGCATTGTTCATTCTGGATCCTATTTTGAAATTGACATATTTTTTAATTTTCGTGAAATTGGCCAAATTGCAAATTTCTGACCACGTTATTGGGTAGTTGAAATCAGTAAATGAGCAGTTTCTTGTACTCAGTCGATAGAAAAGATGGAGTTCTAAAGAAATAGCTGTGAGTTTGGTCGATTGGAACAATGGAATTAGCCGAAAGTAGGGCACAAAGTGGGTGAAATCGCTGATTCGTAAATATCGCCGAGGTCGCTAACTTTGCGAGAGCGTAATTCCGTCAGTTTTCCATCATATTTCGTTCTTTTGGTGTCAATACAGTTGGGAAAAGATTCTGGCTATCCATGCTTCCCAACCTGACTTCATACAAATAAAACTCACCTCTCATCCTACATTAAGACTACAAATATTTTAAGGCAATTAATGAGTGTACTGTATACAGTAGGGCCCCGCTTTACGGCGTTTTGCTTTATGGCGTTCCGCTAATACGGTCATTTCAAATTACGTGTATAACCAAAACTCGATATACGGCTCCCCCCACCTGACTTTCTAATACGGTCACCGCACCCCACCCGGTTTGTTTACATTCTCTGTGAGATCCGTAAGCACTAAGTCTCTCCATTATGTCTGGAAACTCCAAAATTTTAAGTGTTTTTAAAAGTTATTTCATATTTTATATATACTCTGATAATTATACTTATGTATACCTGTACTTAAATAAACTTACATATTGTGCTGGCATTTAGGTTCACATTAAAATCAGTAAGAGTGTTTTATGTCTCCAGACGTCACATTAGTAATGATGATAATAATAATCACCGAGTCTCATTTAAATGTCGTATATTACGTTAATATACACATTTTCATTAATCCATCTATGATATTTTTTCAAAATTATATAATAAACACGATGCATAACATATAAATATGATAAATACACCCCACAGTAGAATAAACATAAATATGAGATGTGGTAGCAGACGACTTGCACAAGTGACGCCATATTAGAAATAATAATAATAATAATCATCATCATCACCGAGTCTCATTAAATGTTGTATATTACGCTAATATACACATTTTCATTAATCCATCCATGATATTTTTTTCAAAATTATATAATAAACATGATACATAACATATAAAGATGATAAATATACCCCACAATAGAATAAATAAACATAAATATGAGATGTGGTAGCCAGATAACTTGTACAAGTGATGGCAAGAATAACATTTTCTCTAATCTAACATAAGAGAAAATATGTTACTGGGGGTAACTGTAGAAAATTATTCCTTTCGTATGTATGTAAGTAAGTTTCTTCAGGTATACACAAATACAATTGCATAGATTATCATACATAACAGCATATGTGTAGAGAACCTAGGATAACCCAAAAAAAGTCAGAGTGACTTATTTCCATTGCCTTCACTCAGAGCGTTATTTCTTCTCAAAATGATGTTACATGAGAATGGGAGTGTTCTTCTTTATTTATTCTACCGTATCAATGTAGAGACAACCTGTACACAATGTAACTTGTACACAAACCAGATGTGTACACTGTTTGTTTACAAAACTTACCTTCACTTTGTTTGTTTACATAACTCTGCGCCTGTCCTCTCTCATGCACTCATTCTTTCTCTCTCATTTATTCGTTTTATCTCATTTACTTACTCCTGACCCTACATTAAAACTACAAATATTTTAAGGTAAGTAATGAGTGAACTGTATATACATTTTATCGCTCTGGGATGCTTAAATATCATAGAATATATGTGTGGGTGGGTTGGCCTGGTATGGTAGCCTGGCTGACTACCATACATACCGCACTTGATTTTTTACAATAAATACTACTCATCTCACCCTAGATTAAGACTTCAAATATTTTAAGGTAAGTAATGAGTAAACTGTACATGTATATGCATTTTATCGCTCTGGGATGCTTAAATGTAATAGAATATTATGTGTAGGTGGGGTGGCCTTGTATGGTAGCCCGGCTGACTACCATACATATCACACTTGATTTCTTACAATAAATACTACTTGTCTCACCCTATGTTAAGACTATAAATATTTTAAGGTAAGTAATGAGTGCACTATGTGTGTATTGTACTTTTTTATTGTTTTTTGATGCCTAGTTCTACTGCTAACTTAATATATGTTAGTGTAAACTTGTTGTCTAGTATTTGCATTTATAAGTGGAAAAAAAGGGTGTTCCACTTTACGGCGATTTCCGCTATATGGCGGTAGCCTGGAACCTAACCTGCCGTATAAGTGGGGCCCTACTGTATGCATTTTATCGCTCTAGGGAGCTTAATGTCGTAGTAGGTGGGAGTGGCCAGGCAGGATGCCATACCTCCCACACGACTTTCTACAGATAAATACTTTTCACCTCTCACCCTACATTAAGACCATTAAGACTGCAAATATTTTAAGTTGAGTAATGAGTGTACTGTATATGCATTGTATCGCTCTAGGGAGCTTTAAGAATGGAATATTATGAAATGTATCGTATGAGCGCAAGGGACCATGCTCACTCACTGAATGGTGTGGGGTTCCGCTCATACACATTTGGGACCAACGACTATTTGTGAGTCAGTATTTTGATGAAAAAAACTTTTCATTTTGCAAAAATCACAAATTCCGATGCTTGTGAAAAACGAGGGTCCACTGTACCTCAGATATTTCCATGTACAGCTCAACCCGAGTAAAAACTCAATGAGTGTGAACGGCCCCAAAATTTGAAACACCCTACCTGAAGATTCCAAAGGCTCTGTCTCTAACAACAACTTTAAAGCTTCTGTTAAAAAGCATCTTCCAACCTTAATGTGATTCATGACAGCAAGATACAGTTCCAACAGATCTTTGATTTGGCTTATTCTCATTCATTACTCATCCTCCTGTATTTTTTGTTTCTTCATTTATTTTTCCCATTCCCATGTAGTTTATCATGTGCTGCAATTTCTTTTTTCAGATAAAGCATAATTTACATAGTATTGTGCTTGTATAAATCACTTATACTGTCACTGTACTTAAATTTCAAATCATCACATCTTTTGCCACACTCAGGAATTTCTACTTAGCATAATCACTGTACTTTATGCTCCTAACTCCTTAATTCTCATGAATATTTATGTAATATACCCTTTTTTTTATAACTAGAACTAGAACATTTTAAGTTTAATCTAAAATCTTCCCTTTGATGAGTTTCAAGAGTTCCTCTACTCCCAGAGCCTGGCCATAGGCCAGGTTCATCTGGTGCTAGCCTGGTTTACCAGGCTGTTGCTACTGGAGGCCCACTGCCCCAAATATCCATCATAGCCTGGTTGATCTGGTCTACCCAAAATGCATTGCATAAATATGGGGTTTTATATGTAAAACAAAAAAAAATATATAATGTAAAACCTGTGTAATGCCATGGAAAATAAGCTTTATATAATGTTTAAAACTTGTCAGTGGTTTGAACACTTGCTGTCTCCTCTTGTGACCCACTCCATGTTCTACAACTCTTGGGGAAGGAAAGTATGAGTTAAAAAAAAAAATGCATCTTTTAAATACAAGAGAATTCTTTTGTATACAAGGATGTGTGTTTAAATGTGGTATGAATGAATTAGGATTGGTGTAATTTCTTTTTTATTAACACATCGGGTAAAATTTTGTGAAGGGATTCAAGGAAACTGATTAACTGGACTTGAGTCCTGGAGGTGGAAAGCACAGTGCCTGTACTATAAAGGAGGGATTCGGGATATTTGCTGTTTAGAGTGAAACCTAAATTGTTGTACCTGCACACTTCTGTGAATGATGGTGAAAGTTTTTTTTTATGTCGCCCTGCCTTGGTGAGAGATGGCCAGTGTGTTATAAAAGAAATTGTATTTTCAGTAACTATTTTATACAATATCTGTGTTTTCAGACAATCTCTGGGAGTTTTGGAATATGCTAAAACTACAAAAGTGGACTTGGTGACTAAGTCATCAATAATGTTGGGTCTTGGAGAAACTGATGAAGAAGTTTTACAGACTATGAAGGGTAAGTTTGTACTAAATTTAAGGTAGAGCACCACTTGAATTATCTTGATGATGTTTGTGTTTCCTTTTTGGAAACTAGGTAGTACTACATGTCTGAATGTGACCTGACCCCATACCAGCATATCTATACATTACTACAATAGAAAGTATGGTTAATAAAAGACATGTATGGTACTTGGAGGCCCATACTTTTTTATCTGTTCATCACTTTGCCTGTTGACCACTTATCAGTTACTCCACCTCAATACGTATATACAGTTGTAATGACTTTGTTGACTGTCAGTTTGTAATAATCTGCTTTTCCTGTTTTTGAACCTGGAAGTCTCATATCTTATCCCAAGTTTAATCTTTTGGCCTAAGAGTTTTTCCCCTTTTTCTACATACATTTTGACAGAATTTTCTGTTTGATTCAGTGCCAGATTTTTTCCAGTCTTCGTTCTAGGCGAACAAGTTGTGCAGGATGTCTTTAGCATTATATTGCTCTTATTAATAATTTTGCTGTTTCTTATGCTGACTTAGTAAGTTGTAGCTACTGCATTACAGGGCACTATTGGCCCTACTTTCAATTGAGCCATGGCACATGGTTTTAGGTTCTTTATGTCAAAGGAATATTCTGTATCTTTGTACATAGCTCCTCTTTGTCTAAAGAATATTCCATATCTTTTTACATAGCTCTTTGTGTCAAAGAAATGTTCTGTATCTTTTTATATAGCTCCATATTCCACATTTCACTCTCCTTATATGGTTCTCCAATTGTTATGGCTTACCTGATTAAAATATCTAGGCATCATTGATTAGTACTTTTCTTAACTCTTATTTTTTTAATATGCTGGCCATCTCCCACAGAGGCAGGGTGACCCAAAAAAATAACACTTTTGCCGTCACTCACACTATCACTGTCTTGCCAGAGGCACATTGATATGACAGTTTAGATGTCCCTCTAAACAGCAAATATTCCAGACCCCTCCTTTAGGGTGCAGTCACTGTACTTTTCGCCTCCAGGACTCGAGTCCAGCTGACCAGTTTCCCTGAATCCCTTTACAAAATATTACCTTGCTCACATTCCAACAGCTCATCAAGTCCCAGAAACCATTTGTCTCCACTCCTATCTAACATGCTCACACATGCCTGCTGTATGTCCAAGCCCCTTGCACACATAACTTCATTATTATTATATTAAAAGCACTAAATCTGAGGCGACATATTGTATCCCCTCTAATATCTGTTTCTTGATAGACTGAATTTGCTGAAAGCACATGTCTGTGGTGCATCCAACAAAATAAGCAGACTCTTGGATGTCACTACCGGCTGACTTCGGCTGGGTTACAAGTATCTTGGCAGGTTAAATCACCACCACCAGATGTAGACCAAATGAAATGCAAACTTTGCCAGAGGAACTATTTTCACACCCTCTGTGTGTACTCACCTAGTTGAGGTTGCGGGGGTCGAGTCCGAGCTCCTGGCCCCGCCTCTTCACTGATCGCTACTAGGTCACTCTCCCTGAGCCGTGAGCTTTATCATACCTCTGCTTAAAGCTATGTGTGGATCCTGCCTCCACTACATCGCTTCCCAAACTATTCCACTTACTGACTACTCTGTGGCTGAAGAAATACTTCCTAACATCCCTGTGATTCATCTGTGTCTTCAGCTTCCAACTGTGTCCCCTTGTTACTGTGTCCAATCTCGGGAAACATCCTGTCTTTGTCCCCCTTGTCAATTCCTTCAGTATTCTGTATCCCGTTATCATGTCCCCCTATCATTTCCTGTCCTCCAGTGTCGTCAGGTTGATTTCCCTTAACCCCCTCCTCGTAGGACATACCTCTTAGCTCTGGGACTAGTCTTGTTGCAAACCTTTGCACTTTCTCTAGTTTCTTCACGTGCTTGGCTAGGTGTGGGTTCCAAAGGGTTTGCCGCATACTCCAATATGGGCCTAACGTACACGGTGTACAGGGTCCTGAATGTTCCTTATTAAGATGTCGGAATGCTGTTTGAGGTTTGCCAGGCGCCCATATGCTGCAGCAGTTATTTGGTTGATGTGCGCTTCAGGAGATGTGCCTGGTGTTATACTCACCCCAAGATCTTTTTCCTTGAGTGAGGTTTGTAGTCTCTGGCCCCCTAGACTGTACTCCGTCTGCGGTCTTCTTTGCCCTTCCCCAATCTTCATGACTTTGCACTTGGGGGGATTGAAACTCCAGGAGCCAATGCGGGACCAGGTCTGCAGCCTGTCCACATCCCTTTGTAGTTCTGCCTGGTCTTCGATCGAGTGAATTCTTCTCATCAACTTCACGTCATTGCAAAAGGGACACCTCAGGTCTATTCCTTCCGTCATGTTTGTTCACAAATGCCAGAAACAGCACTGGTCCTAGGATGACCCCTGCGGGACCCCACTGGTCCAGGTGCCCACTCTGACACCTCGCCACGTACCATGACTCGCTGCTGTCTTCCTGACAAATTTTTCCCTGATCCCTTGTAGTTCCTTCCCTGTTATCCCTGCTTGGGCCTCCCGTTTTTGCACCAATCTCTTGTGTGGAACTGTGTCAAACGCCTTTTACAGTCCAAAAAAAATGCAATCCCCCACCCCTCTCTCTCTTGTCTTACTGCTGTCACCATGTCATAGAACTCCAGTAGGTTTGTGACACAGGATTTCCCCTCCCTGAAACCATGTTGGCTGCTGTTGATGAGATCGTTCCTTTCTAGGTGTTCCACCACTCTTCTCCTGATAATCTTCTCCATGATTTTGCATACTATACATGTCAGTGACAAATGGTCTGTAGTTTAATGCTTCATGTCTGTCTCCTTTTTTAAAGATTGGGACTACATTTGCTGTCTTCCATGCCTCAGGCAATCTCCCTGTTTCGATAGATGTATTGAAAATTGTTGTTAGGGGTACACATAGCACCTCTGCTCCCTTCTCAATACCCATGGGGAGATGTTATCTGGCCCCATTGCCTTTGAGGTTCTAGCTCACTCAGAAGCCTCTTCCCCTTCTTCCTCGGTGGTGTGCACTGTGTCCAGCACTTGGTGGTGTGCCCCACCTCTCCGTCTTTCTGGAGTCCCCTTCTGTCTCCTCTGTGAACACTTCTTTGAATCTCTTGTTGAGTTCTTCACATACTTCGCGGTCATTTCTTGTTGACTCTCCTCCCTTTCCCTTTCCCTTTGCCTGATTACCTGGTCCCTTGACTGTTGTTTTTCCTCCCGATGTGGGTGTACAACAGTTTTGGGTCAGATTTGGCTTTCGCTGCTATGTCATTTTTCCATATTTTCCTTTGGGCCTCCCTTCTTATCTGTGCATTTGTTTCTGGCCCCTTACGACTGGTCTCCTTTTTTCTCCGGGGGCCTTTGCCTTCAAATATTTTTTTTTTTCCCAGCACATTGGGTTTTTTGCCCCCCCTGTTTTTGGGGGTAAACCTTTGGGCTCCCCTGGTTTTTTCCCCTTATTCCTTTTTCCCCTTTGGGGGTTTACAAACCTTTCCTCACCCTCCTTGCTTTTTTTTGGCTACATTTTCCCATCATCTCTTTAAGGGTTTTCCCCTCCCAGTTTCTGTCCCATGAACCCCATTAGGTAGTTCCTCTTTCCCTGTTTTAGTCCCCTTTTTGTTGTTTGGCTTCATTCTTCCGGGCCCTTCCTGCTTCTCCCTCCACTTGTAGCTTGTGTATTCGAAGTTTTAAAACCACATGGTCACGGGCCCCAAAGGGGTCTTTGTTTTGTGATGTCCTGTTACGGCCTACTCAAGGTAAATACAAAGCCCCAGCCTTGTGGCCCCTCCTCCCCTCTCTCTTTTTTGTATTTGTCCCTTACGTTTTGGGGCTCATAAAAGTTTTCCGTACCACCCCCTTTCATCTTAGCCCTCCAGGTACCCTTGGGCCCCCCAAATTGGGGGTTCCAATTTTCCCCCCAATGATCCCCTTTGTGGTTAAGTACCCTTTGGATCGGAGCTTTCCCCTGCATGCTTTGGGGCTCTTTGGCCACTCTGGGCCAGTGTATCAACCATTGTCTATTTTCCCCGTCGTACTCTTGCCTTGGCCCCCGCTTTTCTGTGGGGGGGTTATTCATCATTTGCTTTTTACCACCTTGGGCCCCCAGAGTGAAGGGTTCCCGCTATGAAATTCACTTTCTTCTCCGCTGTCCCTTTCTCCACCCTCATAAAAAAATTCCAGCGATTTTTGTTTCAGAAATTTGGCCACCCCTCCACCCCCCCTTTTCCCCTTGTTTTTTCCTCGGAAATTTGGTATCCCGGGGGAAAAAGATGGCATTGTTTTTCATACCTGTAAGTTGGTTTCTGTGGAGCTTTGAGGGTCCAGTGATGCTTTTTTGGACTCTTTCATGCCATTTTTCCCACTTATTTTTTAAATTCCCATCAGGGTTTTTTTTACCAACCTTCATTTTCCCTTTCCCAACACTGTGGGGGGGGGGGCCTGTGAGGGTGGGAGACCGGTGGCTTTTCTGGGGGGTTCTATAGCTCGGTTTTTGGGGTGGGGGCTGGGGTTTGGATTGTAGTGGGGTTTTGGGATGGTGTGATAGGTTGTATGGTTTGAAAAATAGTTGTGTGTGTGTTTTGCCCTTGCTGTTCTTTTTTCTGCTTGACTGCCTTGGGGTTTTCCTTTCCTTGTCTCTTTTCCTAGCTCCTTTCGTTTTTTTGGGCCTCTCCCTTCAGTGCTGTTTTCTGTTTTTTGTTCTGTTTTTGGGTTTTTTTGGGGAACACCCTCTTGTATCTTTGAGTATTTCAATCGTGGTTTCATTGGGGGGATCCGTTCTGCACTGTTTCCTTTCCTGGGGAATCAGCTTGATTGTGGGTTTTTCCCCCCTTCGGGGACCCCCCTATTCTCTGAAAATTACAATCTCGCCCATCTCTTCCCTTTTTTCCGTGTGTTTTTTCTCAATCCCCTTTCTTTCTTCCTGCTCCCTTTCGGGGTGTGTGTTTTCCTTTTTCTCCCCTAAAAGCCCATGGAAAAAACCCCAATGATTTTGCCCTTTTTCCTCCCTTTGGGCCTCACCCTCTGTGACTCTGGATCCTGCCGGGTTTTGTGGTCAGTTTCCCCCTTGTTTTTTCCCAGTGGCTTTTGAAGCCTGGTTGTGCCTCCCCCCCCCACCAATCACCCTCTCCTTTCTGAAAACCGCTGTTCTTCCCTTTCACTCCTTGGTCCCCCTTGGCAGGCTGATATGACCCTTGCTAATTCATAATTCCTTCCTTCCTGTTCGGCCTCGCGCTTCATATGTTTTTGTCTTTCTGGTCATGCCCCCGGGAACTCGTTCCCGGGCCCTTTTTTTCTCAACTTCTTTGGGGGCCCCTTTTTTTGGCTACGCAGTTTCAAATTTTGCGACTTGTGTTTATGGGGTTTTTTGGGGTTTGGGGGGTGGGGGTGTGCGGGGTTTTGTGTAACTTTCATTGTTGTTTCTCACTTAGTTGAGGTTGCAGGGGTCGGTCCAATCTCCTGGGCCCGCCTCTTTTACTGGGGGCTACTAGGTCACTCTCCCCGAACCGTGGCTTTATCATACCTTTGCTATGGTTTTTTATCCCGCCTCCCCTACATCCTTCAAACTATTCATTCCTTTACTACTCTGTGGCTGGGGGGAAAAAACTTCCCAAAATCCCTGTGATTCATTTTGTGTCTTAATTCCAATGTGTCCCCCTTGTTTTCTGGTCCCATCTTGGTTTTCATCCTTTTTTTTGTTTTTGGTTCAATTTCCCCTTCAATTTTTGAAAGTCTAAATTTGTATCCCTTACTCTTTGTCCTTAAAAAGGGTTTTCCAAAGGTTGTTTCCTTAAAACCTTTTTCCTCGTAGGACCCTAACCCTTTAAAACACCCCCTAGGTTTTTTTAACCCGGGGGCCGTGTTTTTTTCCCCCCCAAAAAGGTTGCCCATACCCAAAAATTTCCCTAACAACACCCCGGTTTTTTCCCCCCGGGCCTTGGGAATCCCCCTTCCCGGGGGAAAGAAGTCGGATATCCTTGTTTTGGGTTTCTACACCCTGTCTGGGGGAAATTTATTTGGTTTTGGTGTGTTTAGGGAAGGAAAGTGCTGGTTTTTTTTTTCTTTAAACCCCCCAAGATCTTTTTCCTTTAGTGGGGGTTGTATTTTGGGCCCCCAGACTGTTCCGTTTTGTGGTCTTCTTTGCCCTTTCCCCCAAACTTCTTTACTTTGCCCCTTGGTGGGGTTGAACTCCCGGGGCCCAAATTTCTGGACCAGGTCTGCAGCCTGTTCAATCCCTTTGTAGTTTGCCTGGTCTTCGATCGAATGAATTTTTTCTCTCAAAATTCACTTAAAATTTCAAACGGGGGCACCCCCAAGTCTTTCCTTCCGTCATGTCCCCTTCAAAAAAAACCAAAAAACCCTTAATTGTGTTTTTGTGTGTGGGGTGTGTGGGTGTGTGTGTTGTGTGTGTTGTGTGTGTGTGTGTGCGTTTTGTGTGGCGTGTGAAAAGCCGCTTTTGTGTTGCCGGGGTGTGCAATCGTGCTTTTTTGGTTTTGCGCATGGGTTGTGGTGTGTGCCCTTGGTGTGTGTGTGTGTTGTTATGTGTTTGCATGTATATTTGTGTACTCATATATGTTTTGGGGCGCTTTTTGTCGGTGTGTTTTTGTAACTCGTTTTGGGGTGACCAACAAAATTAAAATTTTCACAGTAAATCATAGTTGTGGGGCGGGTGTGGGTGTGTTTAAAATTTCTCATTACTCTATAAATTTTTTCATGTTGTAGCATGTAAAAAATGTAAGTAAGTAAATTTACTTTCTGAATTTATTACCCGTTTAAATTGGGAGTTATTACTTTTGAAATTTGTTGTGCTATTTGAAAAATTTGGGTTCCCCGTCCCCCGGGCCCATTATGTACCCTTTTTAATCTGTTTAAAAACATTTTAAATTGTCCTGTTTTTTTACCAAATTTTTTCTGGATTCATTTTCCTTTGTAAATTTCTTTAGCTATAGCCCCCTTTTGGGGGGCCCGTCCCCCGGACCCCCAAAATGTACCTTAATTTTTTTGGGCTACCGCCCATAGGAAAAGGTATGGGGTTATAATAAAAAATTTTTAAACTAACTAACTAACTCAAATTTTCCCCGGGAATAGTGGGCAGACTTTTGTCCTATTAAGGGAAACTTTTTGTTTTCTGAGCTGGGGTGTGGGGATCAGTTGTATCCTATCACTTCTAGCCCCTTTTTCCCCGACTGGATGCTCTCCTCAGGGGTTTAAATTTGGATGTATGGGGGCTTTTTAGTCATCCCCCTTTTTTGGAGCATTTATGTGAATCTGGTGCCCTTTTTAAAGGACCCGTGCTAATTGCTTTTTTCTCCGTTATTTTTTTCGTTTTGACGATCCTGTTTATCCACAGGAAGTTTCAAATGCTAGCAGGTACGTAGTTTCCATCATCCCCCTTCCCTTTGGGATTACATCTCTTCAGATTTTCCTTTCAGGCCTTTTCTTTTTTTCTTGACTGTTTCTCTTTCCTGTAATTTAGTGATCAAAGTTTGGGCTTCTGGCCCTCCTTTCCCCAACACCAAAATTTTTCTGTTTGATTTCATGTTTTAAATTTTTTCTTGGGTCCCTTTCCCCAAAATTTCCAAATTAAATGCTATTGCTATTTTTTCACAGATTGCTCAAAAGGGCTTTCTGGGGTTGGAAAAGTTGTTTACTTTTGAATTACTTTTTCCTGTTCCCTTTTTAAGTACAGGGAAATGGTTAAAAACCCCACCCAAAAATTTATAAAAGAACAAAAGAATGGAGGAGCCTTTCAGTGGGCCCCGTTGGCCTACTGGGAAAGGGCCTTTACAATCCAAAACCCCTAGCAGGGGGATTTGCCCAACCTAAAATTTTAGTGCTACCCTAACAATAAACTCTGATCAGTCTATTTACTTATGTGAAAGTCCCCCTCAAATCCCAAACCCCCCTTTATTTATGTATTTATCCAACCTAAACTTTAAACTACCCAAGGTTTAAACTTCAGTCACCCTACCCAGGTATGGCTGTTTCATTCAAAACTACATATTTCCCAAAACCCAAAACTTTCCTGTATTCTTTTTGAATATAAACTTATTAAATTTGGGAAACCATTATTTGGGGTTTCTCTTGGAGGGACTAAAAACATTAAATTTTTAAAACCCCCTCTTCCCCCTTTACACTTCAATCTTTTCTTCATAAATTTTTCGTCATACAATTGAAGGGAATTTTAAAGGGAAATTTAATCTTTCTTCAAAACGGGAAAATTTTTTAATTTTAGGGAAATTTAATTTTTCTTTGGCATGTTGGAATTAAGTTCTGGAGGTAATATTCAAAAAAGGGGCTAAACCTACATGGATTGTACAGCTTTCACTTGTTAACCCTCACTAACAATATGTATATATTTGTTTTCTACAGATTTACGTGATGCTGGGGTGGACTGTGTGACTCTGGGTCAGTATATGCAGCCAACCAAGCGTCACCTGAGGGTATCAGAATATGTTACACCTGAGAAATACCAGCACTGGGAGAAGATTGGAAAAAGTTTAGGATTTGTTTACACTGCAAGTGGACCATTAGTGCGCTCATCATATAAATCTGGAGAATTCTTCATGAAAAATCTTCTTTCTCAAAGAAAGCAAAAGAAGTCTTAAGATATGAAGAGAATTACATTAAGGACATAAAATTTTATTTTAATAGTACAGTGGACCCCCTGCTTAACGACTTAGAAACCAGAGGAATGGCTCGTTAAGTGAAAAATAAGTTGAGCAAATATCATTTTCCCTTAGATGCCTATGTTGTAGCTTGAGATAAGGACTGGGATGATTATATTTAATTCCTATTATTTTTTCAGTGGTGAAAACGTCTGCTCACCAGAGATAGGTTCGCTGAATGTTTTAAGTTTTTAGTAGGGGTATTATGGTGTTATACCTCTCTTTTATGAGTGCACAGTACAGTAAATATCAAAAGAAATATCACACTGTGGGTTTGTTCTTGTTAGGGTAATAGATCGTGATGTCTCCCTTACTAAAGCCCTCCCAAGCAAAAATAGTAATAATAATGCTGCTTATAAACAAGTCTCCTAGCCCTTTTTTCCCAAATTTCAGATAGGCTTTTTTAAACCCATCCCAGTACAGTAAAACCCCGCTATACGGGTTTGTTTTATGACTTTCCCGGCTAATAGGGGAAATTTTCCCTATTAGGGCCCAAAAAACTCGCTGCACATTCTCTGGGGAGCTCCGGTTCTCCTTTTTTGTCGGGAAAACCCTTTCCCAAAATTTTTCAAATGTTTTAAAAAAATTAGTTCAGGGTTTTAAACATTTTTTCAACACCCCGGCCGTATCCCACCAAAGGGCAGGGTGGTCCAAAAAAAAAAAACAAAGTTTCTTTTTTTTAACTTTAGTAATATAAAACGGGAAAAAGGGGTTTAAACTAGCCTAATGCTCCCAGCTTTTAGTCCCTTTTAAAACATGCATGGCTTATGGGGGATGAATTCTGTTCCATTTCCCCCTTGGAGGTAAGGGGAAAAAACAAAGAACAAGAATTGTAAGAAAATAGAAAAAAACCCAGGGGAGGTGTTTTTTATAGGTTGTACATGAGGGTGTAGTGTGCCCCAAAGTGTAAGTAGAAGTAGCAAAAATTTTTCCTGAACCCTTGCTTTGTTTATGAGACAAAAAAAAAGACTCCTACTTTCGCTTTATCTTCTCTTCAGTTTCCCTTTTTATGTTCATGTAGCGTTAAACTTTTTCCTGCCCCCTTGGGAAGTTTCCGGCTTTTCATGTTGTTATTTCCCTTGCCATCGTGAAAGCCCCTACCTATAGGGGGGTTCCCCTTTCTCTTTTTTTTAAAACCATTCTGTTTCTAATTATCATGCCATAAAGTGTATCCCCATTTTTCAAAGTTTTCTGATGGTGTCGATTCAAAAGCATTTTTACCCTGGCTGGGTTTTTTTTGGGCTTTTTTTGTATGCTATTCTTGTTGCCCCTTTATCCGTTTTGAAATTTTAATCCCTGTGTCACCTTTTTGGGGTCATTTCGGGATCCCTTAGGTTTTTCGGGAATTAGGGAAAATTTTGATACCCTAAACACCCAGTTCTTCGTATTCAACTTTGGTTACGCTGCTTCTCTAGCAAACCGGTTTAAGGGCCCCCCGCATAGAAATTTTAATGTGAAAGGGGGGGTCTTTGGTTATGCAAAATTTTTCGTTATGCAAATTAAATTTTCCCCTTTAAGAAATAAGGGAAATAAAATTTAACCCCAGGGAAAGGACCCCCCCAAAAGTATAAAAAAAAAAAAATTTTCCCATAAAAAATTAAAATTTTTAAATTCCAAACAAACTGAAAAAGAGGGCAAAATTTAATGACACTTATTTTTTTAAGATTGGTGTTGTTTGGGGGAAATGGGAGGAGGAGAGAGGGGTTAGTGTTTGGGGGGAAAAACCCCCTTTCCAAATTAAGATTGGGGTGTCAAGCCCTTTTTCTGGGGTTATTTCCCCTTCTTTTTTTAATCCCACTAGGCCCCCCCCCAAAGCTTCGGGGCACGGGAGTTCTGTCGAAACAACAAAATCGTCCATAGTGACCTTTTACCTCCGTTCCTTTATGCTTCCCAAAAAGGTTTCACAACTTTGTAGTTTTATAGTACCAGCCGGTTTTGAAATAGCTTTTTTGAGGGTGATTTTCATCCATGAAGGTTTGCCTTCAAGCCACTTTGCACGTTTTCCTTAATTTTTTGTAGTAGGCAATTTCTTAAATTTTTTTCTCCCCTCCTTCGAACCATTTTTCCTCGGGTTGGCCTTTTTGCTGTTAAAGTTGATCTTTCAGCTCATCAGGGTTAGTTTTTCATTGTCCCCCTCCACCAACTCTTCACATCACCCCCACTAACCTCCCCCCCCAAAGGGAAATTTCCCTTTGCCATAATGGTTTCCCTAAACTGGCATGGGGTTCTCAGGGTTACCCTAAAACCCCTTAAAAACCCCTTTGGTCTCCCACTTTCCCTGGCCACGTTTTTTCCCAAGAGGAAAAAGGGTTTCCTCTTAGTACTCCCCCCAAAGCCTTTCCCTATAAGGGTTTTTACACAATTGAGGATTTTAAAAGTGATCTCCCCAAAAAACTTTTCTTAAAAGTCGGGTTGAGTTTCTGAGGCCCATAAAAAGCACCTTTAAAACAAAAGCTTTTGTGTACAGTTTTTGAAGTTTCCCAAAAAACCTGGGGTTTCCAAATGGGTTTGCAGGAAAAGATTGGTTTTTGGGAGGAAAAAACTTAAACCTTTTAATGAATTTCTTTGCCCCCATAAGTCGCTTTGCCACGTTGTAGGATGACCGGGGGCTTTGTTTTAACACCGGGGGCCCATTTAAAGTTCTAATTTTTTTTCGTTAGGAAATCTTTCAAATTGGGGGGGAAAATGCAGGGTGAAACCCCATTTCATAAAAAAAGTCCTGGGTAAACCATCCCTTTTACTGTTTCCCCTCCACAGCACACAAAAATTTTTCCCTTGGGGGGACATTTTTTTGGGCCTGAACGATCGGGGGATTTTCAGGTGATAAAATAAAAAAGGGCTTCACTTTGCAATCCCAGTAGCATTGGAACACATCAACAGAGTAAGCCCGTTTTTTTTTCTTTGGGGTTATGTTCCCGGGGGGTGCCTTTTCTCCTGAGTTTAATTTTAGGTCCTGTTGGCATTTTCTTCCAAAACAGGGCCCGTTTTTATCACAAATTAAAAAATTGTTCAGGGTTTTAGTCCCCTTTATTTTTCTATGTACTCCTTGAATTCTGCACCTATTTTTTAGTGCCCTTTTTGGTCCGAAAAAGGGAGCCCCATGCCTTATCACATATGTATGCCACTAGCCTCTTAAAAACTCTCAAACCTACCTTTTCTGGCCCTTTAAAATTTATCACATCATCACTAGTTTCAGGATTTTTTTTTAAATTTAAAAATTTTCCCGATGCAAAATTTCCCGCCTTTTCACTTATGAAACACTTGAGAGTGCTATCTCCGCTTTTGTTTTCATTTTTATCCCCACCCAAAGAGTCTCTCAAAAATTTCCATCCTTCGACTCTGTTTTGAAAAAACAGTTAAAAAATTTGGGAAGAACAGTTCTTTTATTGCCCTTTTTTTTGCCCACAATAGTAGCGTGGTTTATTTGGGGGTTTTCTATAAACCTTTGGGCCGCTCGGAGGGGGGGGCAGCACTCCATTTATATTATCAATGATCTCTTTTTTCATCTCTATAGTTAAAATTTTCACCCTTTTTTTGCTGTTGGGTTTGGGACTAGAAGCTTTTTGGGGCCCCTGGTCATTTTTTGCAGATTAAAAAACACCAAAAAAACTGTAATAATGCGAAAAATTCCCAAATTTTATGCTTTGGTGTTACCCGGAGGTGGCTTTGGGAAAAAAATGCCCCGGCGGAAAAATGTGAAAGGTGGCTAAGGGCATAATTAGAGCGTCTCGGTCGAAAAAGCGTTTTGGGGGGTTTTTTACGGTATGGAGGGAAATCTTGGCGATAAAATGTAGAGGTATGGGATTTAAAAGTTATTTTGATTTCCCAAAGGTTTTGCGGGGGGGCCACTGTAAAATATTGCTTTTTGTTTTGTCCCCGGTCATGTTGACCCTTTCCCGGGGGGAATGAAAAAGGGGAGGGCACTGCTGTGCAAACAGGGGTAATGACCTTCCAGTTTATATAGAGGTGTTCCCCCCCATGGGACAAAGTGTAATTGTTAAACCCTCTTTTCACCCGTTGAAAAACAACATTGGTTGATCTTTTTCCTAAAAAAACTTCCTTCGTTAAAAAGAGTACTATAGGTTTCTGGTCGTCGTCTTGTCATCACTGTCGAGGTTGGGAGACTACTCTCTCCTGTCTTCGCATCGGCCACACTCGTCTTACTCATGGGTATCTCATGGAGAGGCATCCTGTTATTCTCTGTGAGAATTGTCAAGTTCCAGTATCTGTTAGCCACATTCTGTTGGACTGCCCACTCTATCAACGAGCATGCATAATTTACCTCCAACGCCGTCTCTGCTCTGCTGCCCTTTCTTTACCTTCCCTTCTTGCTGATGGACCCTCCTTTAATCCAGACTCTCTCATTGACTTTTTGACAGCAACTGATTTACTACACAAACTCTGATGATGATGTCTCTAGCACTTTCCTCAGTCCTTTCCACCTTAATCTCTAGCTACCCTCTACCCTCATTATCCACTGCAATTCATAACCTAATAATCATTCCTCTCCCTCTTGCTACCCATTACCCCTGCATCCTTCCCTGCCCTGCTGCACTTTATAACCCTTGTGGTTTAGCACTTCTTTTTGATTATAATAATAACCAACACCAAAGAAAAATGTGTATACAATATTACTGGGGTAATGAGTGATTGAAAGCTTGCATTGTGTTGGATGCTAAACAGTATTGTATTTATTATTATTATTATTATTGTTATTATTAGAGAGAGAGAGAGAAAACTTGCATTGTGTTGGAAGCTAAACGATATTGTATTTATTATTATTATTATTATTATTATTATTATTATTATTATTATTATTATTATTAATGAGTATCATAATACATTCTACACAATGTAAAGTGTTTGTGTTATGGTATAATACAAACGTGTGTTGGTTTACATCCTCCACGTCTCTGTCCTCTCTCTCATTTACTCATTCTCTCTCTTGTTTATTTGTTTTATCTCGCTTACTCGCCTCTCACCCTACATTAAGACTAGAAATATTTTAAGGTAAGTAATGAGTGAGCTGTATATGCATTTTATCGCTCTGGGACGCTTCCGATGTTAAGTGGATGGGGTAGGGTGGCCTGGCTGGCTACCATACCTATGACATCTGATTTCTTACTATAAATACTACTCATCTCGCCCTACGTTATGACTACAAATATTTTAAGGAAAATAATAAGTGTACTATATGGTATTTTTCTTTTTTATTGTTTTTTTAATGCCTCTTGCTATTGCTAACTTAATATATGTTAGTATAAACTTGTTATCTAGTATTTATATGCATTTATAAGTCGAAAAAAAGGGCATTCCACTTTACGGCAATTTCCGCTTGACGGCGGTAGCCTGGAACCTAACCTGCCATATAAGAGGG